ACTGAGCATAGAAACAAAAAATAGTGAAAGTCACATTATTACTTTACTAATCTTATTAAAAAAAGAAATTGGAGCAGAGGATTTAAATTTTGGTCATTTTCCAACAATAGAGAGTCAATATTCTATACATTTATATAATATGATAAAATGGATTTAAAATAATCAATTGTTTACCTGGGAATAACAATTACAAGCATACAAATTAACTCTAATCCACTTAGTCAGACAATCAAAGACATGGAAAGGTGGAATGTTTTGATTCTTGATCTAAATGCCAGAATTGAAATAATGAAGATTAAAGTACTACTTAGAATTTTAGATATGTTTCAGCCCCGGCCAGTGAGGATACCATCCTCCCAATCCATAGAGTGAGATAAAAAAAAAAACAATATTTGTTTAGAATGGTGGTAAAGAAAGAATTAGATATTCAAAACTCCAAAGACTCATAAAAAGAGGGAGGAGTGGCACTCCCAGACCTCAAAAATGTTTATTATGCAGCACCATCAAAGCTATTGATGTGCTGGTGCACAACAATCAGTACAGCTAAGTGGAAGGAAACAGAGTTGAGGGAGACTATTGTCAAAGAGGAGATAAGGAAGAACAGGATTCCATCAGAAAATTCACTGTGGAGACCTGGCATACAACAGTCAAGAAATATTTCATTGAAAATAAAATTAAGATTTTCAACTGGTTAGCCTCTTATTCGAATTTTGAACCAGGAATTGCGAACTCTGAATTTAAGGTGTGGTTCAACAGAAGCTTGAATAAGTTAACTATCTAAAGGAAATTAGACCAGGTCACTCAGGGGAAGAAAAAAAAAAATCACAGAAATGTTAGGGAACGCATATAAAACCCAAATAGACAATCTTGCATTGAAAACATTTGATTATAAGTAACAGTACTGCAGTGGCCTTTTTTTTTACCAAACACCTCTTCGCTCCAAGTTATTTGTTAAATGGTTAATATTTATTTTTACTTGAGTGAAAATATTTGTTAACAGCTCTACTCTCAAATGAGAACAATCTTTAGGTCCTCTACCCGGCCATAGCTGTGGTATTATTCTGCAATGAGTATATAAGAGTATAAGAGCTTTGAGACAAGCTGAATGTTACCATGAAATTTACCTTTGTGATGGTGATAAAATCAGGGCCAAAGAAGACGCTCTTAACTCCATCAATCCGAAACAGCTGTCTAAAAAAAGCAGGTATTGGAGAAATCAAATATGAATAACAGAAATTCAAAGATAATTTTAAACGAGTCTTATTGTTTAAGCAAAGGCAGATACAATATATACTTTAACATTAAGCAAATACAGAAAGTATGTATACTATAACATCTATTATCTATATCTATAGACTTAGACAGATTTATTTTTGTCATTTTGTATACACGAGTGTAAACAAAAGAAATAATAATAAATAAAACAACTCTACACAATTTCATTTTTTAAAGTGCAGCCTTGAAAACAGTAATAAATACATAAAAAATAGTAATATAAACATATGACTGAATATTTACAGTTCTAACATTATTATAATTTTTTTTAATATAAATAAAAGAACCCATTTTACACAACATTCAGCAGTCTAATGGAAGTGGGGAAGAAACTGTTATGGAATCTGCTGGACCTGCATCGGATGCTTCGAAGCCTCTTCCCAGAGGGCAGCAGGGAGCTCTCTCTCTCTCTATATATATATATATATATATATATATATATATATATATAAAAACACACATATATATATAATTGTAAATTATATATTTTAATTTAAATTGGATTTCTGTATATAGCTGTTAAAATCTGGAATAAAAGAAGCAAAATTACAAGAACCTTAAAAAGAAAACATTGTTTTTACAAAGTCAGTTGTAACGCACTTTAAAGGACATTTAAAGGTTTAAGCTGAAGTCAAAAGAATATTTTCTTTCCAGGTGGGAGTTTTGGGTCCCATCTATACATATAAAACACACAGCTTTCTAAAGACTAATGTATCAAATAAACATAGTATAGACTGATTTACCTTTTTTTTTTTTTTTTTTTTTTTTTTACATTTGTGAGTTACAAAAACATGTTATCATAAAGAGCATTCTAAGATGAATAAGTACTTAAATAAAAAAACTCCCACACCTGGCTAAAGGTGAGCAGAATGCATCACGAGAGGTGGGAAAATTCATAGTCCCTTCCTCTAAAACTGTTCGCCCAGGCAGGAACTTCAGGCTGTTTGGATTTGGCGTGTCCTGTGTCTGCACAAACATGGTCCTTCCTGAGAAGAGACAAAACACCGTGGAAAGAAATGTAATTTGAGATGTTAAACAATTATAAATTGTGTCTATCTGATTGAATTCCATCTACAAATATAAGATTTTCCCACAGTATGTGAGCAGCTGTTACCACAAGAAAAGCAATCATTACACTAACAACCAGGTTTAATGAAATATAGAATAAACAAACCAGGAACGACCCAGACGGGGTTTTGTTGCCATCTGTTTGAGAATCCTGTGACTTGCGAGGACCAGTAGGATCTACTGCTCTGACATCCACTATTAGCCAGTCTGAAATGATAAACATATTGAAAAAGGTTACAGTTTCATTACCACATACGCAAAATTATTCCTATTACACATTAAGGTGCCCCTGGAGCCATGAAGGAAAAATCAAAATATTAAAGCTAGTAGTTGAGATTTACATGCTGGTTTTTATCTTTCTAAATAATGACAGCTTTCATTGGAGGATTACAGTTTTTGGGCAGTTGCTGGCAAACTTCAAAATAGACAAAATAATAACTATAGAATTTTAGGACTTAAACTATATAAGTTAAGTACGTCAACACTCCTTATACTTAAGGCTATATGATAATGGAAAAGATCAAATTGAATTAAAGGTTGTGATAAATTCACACTCTTCTCTTTCTTCCATAATTACAAATATTTCAGTTTTTGCCACCGAAACCAATCTTTTAGATAACTTAAAGGTAATCCAACTGACCAAATGTATTACTGAAGGCAAAGTGTAAGCAGTTCTTTGAAATATTGCAATACGTGACACTGCAATGATGATTTCAATTTAATATGTTGTGCAGCAGCCTGCACAGTGGGTAGTACAGTTGCTTTTGCAAGCAAGAAGGTTCTGGGATCGATTGCTGGCCCGTGTCTTTCAGCAAAGAGTTTGCATGTTCTCCCTAAGCATGTGTGGGAATTTCTCTGGGTATTCCAGCTTCCTCCCACTGTCCAAAAACATGACTGTTAGGTTAATTGGCATCTCTAAATTGTCCTTAGATGTGAGTGCGTGTCTGCATGGTTGTGTGTCTTTGTGTTGCCCTGCGATAGAATGGTGACCTCCTCAGGATGTACCCCGCCTCTAACCCATAGACTGCAGAAGATAGCCCCACTGCGACCCTGACAAGAACTCAGCGGGAGAAGACGGATGGATGGATGTTGTAAAGCACAGCTTTTAAACCAGCTAAACAATTTACAATGACAACAAAACTGCTTCAATTGTTATATATTGAAATCAAATTATAATGAGAATAGAATGTTGAAAAATAGATCTCATGTTACATTGTTGATAAGACCCACACACTTCAGAAACCACTATCTTGGACCTTTGAGCTGAGAAGACACAGGGTGCAAATCCACTTAAATAATCTTTATCTCAACTCCAACAAAACCAGACAGTGGATAGTTAACTGGACCCTTAGTAGCCTAAAGTTGGCACATTTAATAGATTTTCATCAGACACTTTTAAAAACTATAACAACCCGCTAGTTCGTCTTTTCTAAAAGAATAATAGAATATTAGGAAGTACAATTAGTTTTACAATAGAGGCAGGAGCCTTAATAATTGCTCCAACAAGAAATACACTTGGATCTCTAAAAATGTTAAAACAAAAATGTGTCGCAAATACTTAATATATTACTTGAGAAACTTAATAGATTTCCAGTGTGAAGCAGGGATCCCCATATGACCTCATTTACAGGTAAAGGTCAAGAAACATTGCACTGTGCCTAAAAGGAATAATCTTAACTTTATAGTTTTTTTCCCCCTTTAGATCAGAAGCAAAACCCATAATATGTATGTTGTTGACATGCAAAGGTTCATTCCTGGAAAACTAGAACTGCCTCGTTTCCATCATCACTAAAAATCCAAGATGAGGATTTCAAATTCAAAACTTGATCCAATCATCGCTGCTTCTGTAGGTAGAAGGTATTTGCTGAAGTTATTTTAAATATCATAGAGCTCAATATAAGTTGGATCCATTTGTCTATATCATGACCTGAGATGACATTTCAATTAACCACTGTAAAAATAAACTTTACGCATTTAAACTAAACTAAGGGCTAAGTTTTTGTTTAACACTATTTACATAACAGACTATTGTTTTATGCCTAGGAGATTCTTATTAATTTTACATACAATATATCTAGGGTTCCATTTTTATGAGATTTAAATTAATTACTATATTTTCACAATAAACTACAGTAATTAATTAAACTACTTTAACTATAAACATATTGATCTGTCACGTAATTTGATCTCCCTCAGTTTCACCAGATAATTTTGTGCATTCAAACAACTAACTGGTCATTATCAATTGGTTCTAAAATTACACAAAATCCATTTTAAAAGTTGTTTTATGGCTACTTATGAATAGAATAATGCTTTAAAATGTAAAACAAGCCTCGAAAGAAGAAAGAAACAAATCTCTCTTTTCTTACTATGGTTAGTAGTTTGAGTCTGCGTCATTCATGTTTAACAAGCCAGTAGCCTGCTAGTTAGCCACAGCTACATATAGCGATTTTAAAGAGGCCAAAAATAAAAAAAAGACGACGTGAAAATTTTTTTTGTCTGCATCCTTTTTCTAAAATATATACTTACGGTCGCACAAATCTTGCTGAAATACCCAACAACCTCCCGACCTGTGCATAAGTCGCCATGGTTGTTTTGGTTAACTAACAAGGACGGAAGTGGCTTTGTACAAGGCGGAAGTGACGTGTTATTATTGTACGTGCGGTAAAGTTTCCCCCCGTAGCATTTCAACAGCTTGCTGGCATAAAACGCATTGTTTTTGAGCTTCGCATCATTAATAGAAAATGCCTTGTGGTAAAAATTTTAGAAGGAGAAGGGACTCATCTGATGAGGAAGAGGAGGATAATGAGACAGCAGAAGAAGTCAGGTAAAAAAATAAGATAGATTAAAATATATTTGAAGCTAACGCCGTCTTAGCTAGCAACCTGTGCAATTAGAATTTATGAAGCGTGGTTTACATATTTTACACATTAAAAAAGCTATTTAACCAGTGTGTTTAATTTTATTTATTATTTTATTTAATTCTAGGTCAAAATTAGAGGAGGCAAAAGAACTTCAGAGTTTGAGGAAACGGCAGACCGGAGTCAGGTAGTGTGGGTTTGCTTTTTTTCATCAGACAAACTCCTTTAGTTTTAGTGTGATTGTGAAGCGCATTGCAAATTGATCAACACCATGGATAAATGCTATTAAAAAGTGGATTGGAAAAGTGGAAGGCTTTTGCTATTTATTATACGCGTATATAGGTGTTTGTTTATGTTAATTAATTCAGATGATGAGGAAATTACGATGTAGCATGAAGGTGATTAACCTGTGTACACATATATTTTTTAATCTTTTCAGGTCAGGTTAATTTGCTCGCCTATCAGACAGGTGATATTATAGCTATTTAGCAGTCAATCTACACTAGCAGAAGACACATCTCATTACATTGGAAATTCAAATTTCCTTCCTGTGAAAAGGATTTTGAACCTCTGAGTGATAGTTTGATCATTTTGTGTAAATAAAATTCTCCAGATGTCTGTTTCATTAACGTAATACAAGGAATGTGACAAAACCTCTGAATAAAATTCTCCAGATGTCTGTTTCATTAACGTAATACAAGGAATGTGACAAATATATGCCATGCAGATCTCTGTGTGGTGGCTCATGAAGCACCATTTCCAATCACAGATAATGCCATGTTTCTCAGCAGACCTTTAAAAGGGAAACATTTTCAAAGCTGCTCCTATTCCTTTTAATTATAAAGACTTTTATCTCCTAATCAAATCTACATTGTAACACTTCCATAAATAAATGTAATAACTGCAAATCCCTTTATTGTCTCACAATGGGTAAATTTACTGTATTTAACCCATCCCTTAGGGGAGCAGTGGGCTGCCACTGTGTGGTGCCGGGGGAGCAGTGTGGGGTTCAGGGTCTTGCTCAGGAATCCAAAGTGCAGGCTGTGGGGATCGAACAGTACGGGGTTGAAGTGAAGCCACCGGCCGCCATAGTGATACTCCCTTGTCACAATGTAAACAATTGGTTTGCTACAACATCGAACAATGACAATGTTCTCATTTTCAGGAGGACTGAAGACTTTTTAAAATAAAGATAAATTTGTCACTTTAACACACACTTGCTGTTTCATAGCATAAGTAGATTACTTTAACATATAATAAAAAAAAACATTATGAAGTCAATTAAGTTTCTAATTCATGTAATATAACACATACGAATTGATCACAATAAAATTAATGTGTTAGCAGTGTGATAATACAGATTTGCCCAAAGTGGCACATTGTTGATGTACATGTAATATATATGTATTTATTACATTGTTATGGTAATTACATCTTACATGTCTGGTAATGCATGCAATATATATATATATATATATATTT